GGCAAGGTCTCCCCACCCTGCGCAGCTGCTGACCATGGGATGGTAGGACACGGCAGCATGAAAGACAGTGGAAGAATTTGTTGATGAAAGCCAGGCTGGAGTTTGACAATCTCCAGTTAAAATGAAAAAGAAATCCAACGAAGAAGGCTTAATAAGCACTTCAGGCTCTATCTGAAATTGGCGGCAACCAGCCCAAAAGAATCCAGTCATCAGCCTTATTCCCGACAATAACAGCTTCTGAGCATTTAACGTGTTTAGTAGCTTTTCAGTTAACTCAAGCCGAGGAGGCAACTGTGAAACTGTTACAGATATTTGAGCAATAAAGCCTCCACATAAAAATGAAGCTGCTGAAAGATGTTTTCAAGCAAAAAGCACCAAAAAAAAAAGCCAGTGGAACCTCAGGAGACCTTCTTCTAAGGCAGAAATCAAAAACTGTGCTAAGAGATGGGATGGACCAAACCCTCAGAGACGGATGGCAGGGAAACAGGCCTGGAAGCAGCCTGGGACGCAACAATGAAATCACCAAGGAAGGTGAAGGAAGCTTCAATAGGGGACTTTGTGGCCACACCACTGAACGTTTAAGCACCTGTCTCCCAGGCATCAATCCACCTAATGCAATTCACCATATCCAAAACAGACAGCTGAGCTCTCTGCTACATGACCGAACAAAATCAGGAACCACAAAAGGAGACCCACCACAGGCAGAACCACAGTGCTGAAAAGTAGCTTTGTAATCTAGTCTGTGAGAAAGCCTGAGGGCAGAGATAAGGGCTGAAAAGACTTCATCTGAGCTGGAGATCGAGTCACGGCCTCCTTTATTCAGGCACTTGGAAGTGGGCAATGCTTGAGTCAGGCCATGCTTTCCTTCCATCCTGCCTGCTGAAGTTGCTCCAGGGTTCATGGGTTTGTCAACAGGAGAGACAAGGCAGTGAAGGGAGACGAGACAAACAGGGAGGGATCATCTGCTGTGGAAGAGACCTGACCACTTACTCCCTCTCTACTGAACAGCTTGGTATGTTCAGGTTTCTCACTTTCATTATCACATTTACTAGCTTAGTTGCTCTCTGCAAATCCCATCTGTCCTGGCACAAAGGGTGGCCTCAGGACCCCTTGAAGGGGAAATACCTGGAGACGATAACCACCATTAGTGCAGACAGGATAGGTGAAGAAGATCAGGACAGGCAAAGTGAACCAGACCTGTGGACGCTGCAGTTAGGTGCATACCTGGAGCCCTATTAAGTGATAGGTTGAGGGTCACATTTTCTTCTCATGTTTCTTCCTTGGAGGGCCCCCTGCTAGTGTCAGAGCATGACTTTGGAGCTATACAATGCAATGGCTTATACATTTGCTTAATCTGAAACCCAGCACAGAGGTAACTTTTGATGTCCATGGTTTTTCAGCCTTTAGGAGAGGAGGTAGCTGCCCCCTCACAAGGAGAGAGAGCTGGTACCATTTCTTCTGGCCATCCAGGTCTTGGAAAGCCTAGTTTTAGCAAAGAGCTCTGGATAATGAGTATCTGCTGTGTCTCAGCTGCAGGAGCACTGAAGTAGAGCAGGATCATAGACGCAGCCTTGTTCGTAACCTGACTTTCTCCAGGCAGCTGTGTGCGGGGCACTGAACTGGCTGCATACACTGCATGAAGGGCCAAAGGGGGTACCTCAGGAAACTAAGTTTCCTTCCTGGTTGCCATCAGCCTACATGCCTGGTTCCATAAACGTGCATCTTCACTACTAAATTTAGCTGATAGTCTTTGAATCTGCTTCTCTTCTTTCTCTTTTCTTCCCATCACAAGCACAGACACACAACGTCTCTCCCAAAAGCAGTGTAAAGCAAGCAGTTAATAGAAGCAGAAGGTCAGTAATGGCATTGCAATTTCCAATTTTACAATAACAGCCATGAGATGTGGTTGCTTTACGTTGCTTCTTTCCTAAATCAGGGGCAGAATCGGAACAGATTCCTTTTCAAGCATTCAGCTAAACAGCCAGCAATGAGATTTATTTTAATTCAGAAAATAGGTTCTCACTAATTCCTTCAGAGAATTTTCATTACAATCATTTGCACAAAGGCACAGGCCATGACTGACAGAGATGATGTGGCTGCCACCAGCTTACTACAGAGTCAAAAAATTAGGCACCTTACCCACTGGATGACTCGGAAAGAGGCATTAGCTGCCCATGGATCCAGTACAGCCAATTGAGAGAGCAATTAACTAGTGACTAGAGAGAATTAAACTCCTCAGAAAGATAATCCACACAAAAGCCCTACAGGCAGAGCTGGAAGCTGCATAGGTCTAGCTAATAAAAAGGCTGAGAAAGGGATGTTTTTGAGCACTTCTCCCTCTCCAGAGCTTAAACATCTCATTTGCAGCTGTGTGTTACATGCTCCAGTGTGATTCAGAACCTTTTGTCAGAAGAAAGCAACAATGCGGGGGGATTTTTTGGGGGGGGGGGGGGGGGGGGGGGGGTGTGTGATGTTTACACCCATCTCAGCTTGAAGTCATTCAGGAGTGCACCTCCCATCTGCCAGCAAAGTATCTTGAGTAAAAAGCAACCACAGAGATGGATGTGCTGGTCCCTCATCCTTCCTCCCTGGACTGGGCTGGGTGACTGCTCAGTTATGAATGTGAGAGGAAAAAGCGATGGACAGAGGTGGTCCATGGGCACCAGTGACCCCTGTCCCGGGTGGGCACTGCCCTCCCTGTCCCCATTTCGGTGCCTGCCCTGAGCCCAGCGCTGCCAGCAGTCTGAAGGCAGGGCACCCCAGCGGGCACCGCTCCATGCCCCCACCCCACACTGACTCCAGGAGCTGAGGTCACGCTTTGCACTGATTTGTAGGACCAAAATCCCAGGGTGTCCTGGGCTCTGTGGAGATTGGGGGTGGTGTGTTTTCAGCACTGTTTCCCTCAGCTTAGGAGTCTGTGGGAGTCTTTGCCTCTGGTTATGGGACAGAAGAGTCCCTTTTCATCTCACCCTGGCAGTAATAGCTTCAGTACAATTTATGCAACAACAGATTGCAGGTATTTACTAACACCTGCATAAACCAGCAACAAAAAATGCCTCTTCTGTAGTTTGGGATGAGTGGAACATTAAAACATGTAAAAGCAACCTTTACAATCAGACTTGCTACAGGATTTCCTCCCACCGTTTTGTAATGTGCCTATGCTCAACTTTCTTCCTTTTTAAGCATTTCATACGAATTTTATCTGTACTTCTTCCTTTCACCAAGGACACAACTTTCCTTGGTTGCAGACCAAGACTGTACTTTTTAAAAAGGGAGAAAAACAGCTTTCTGGTGTCACCAGGTAATTTTCCAGTAAGCCGCGAGAGGGCAGGTTGTGCTCTCTATACAGCTTGCTTCAGCCAGATTTTTACAAGCAACTGTTAAGACCAGTCACAGTTTTAAAGCCCTAATTATTAAACTAAGGCCCAGTGAGTGGAAAGAGTAACACACGGATCTTTGACCCTAGCATTTTTTATGTGCATAATATCAATCTAATGCCCTCATTGCTTTTCTTCTGGAAAGGAAAACAACTTTCTACTCGATTTACAAGTGAGAACTGAGCAACTCTCCCTTGTTTTACCCACCCGCTCTTAGGCAAAATCAGTTCTAACAAGTTAGCTGCTATGCTGCATTTTTTACCTTTCTCCCCTGGCTCTTTCCTTCCTCTACCCCTCTGCCACTGCCACTTGCCCATAACCAGGGCAGCACCAGGTGGACAACGATCTGAGCATGTGGTGAGTACATCATAACTTTGCCCCAGAAAGTCCACATTTTAGAGGTAATTTTTGTGAGTTACACATATTCAAAGCTAAGTATATGTGAAGACCTACTGCGATCTTCTTTCTAGTCCACATGGCTAGTATTGGGCAGGCCTAGAAGACATACCAGAAATCGTTACTAACTGGAATTTTTTTTTCCAGGCTACAAAAGCATTGTTTTCCTAAGACTCAGGACCTTAAAAAAAGCAAAATCTGAGCACTCCATTACTGTAATATATTAAGCACCAAAGCTGACACAATCTGTTCAGGACTTCATTTGCTGTGTAAAAACCCTCTCTCAAGATAACATAGGAGAGCCACCCAAATGTGGTCCAAATCCATGTCTAAATAAAGAAATATATATGGAAAGTATAAAGGAATGTTTAAGACAGGGTCTAGGGAGTGCCACATCCGAGCCTGATCCCCTACCTGCATCCCCTACCCCTGGTTAATGCAAACTATCTCAGTCTTGTTACCTTGAGACCTGGGTCCCAGACTTTGGAAATTTAAGTCTAGATTCGTGAAACAGTGCAGCAGAGCCAAAATAGAGAAAGATGAGCACCATTTTCAACTTCTGTCACAGGTCCCTAACACAGAGGTAAAACACAAGTGTATACCTAGCTGTCAGGGAACTCCTGCTCTTAAATTTTAGGAGAATTTGACTTTGGAGGTTTACCTACTGTTAACATCAGCTTTATTGGAAATAACACATGGAATTTATCGTGCTTCTGAAATAAACTGTAACCAGGGGGTTCCTATAGTATTTTGTTAAACGGCATGAAACATTTTGAACCTTGAAAGACGACTATGTTAATATTTATTGATAACTGTAAAATAAAATGTTATTCAAATATATATGTAGACTTAATAACTTTCAGCACATCTCTGAGCTGCTAAATGAAATCAAAGCCACACTGAGGTGAAAAATTATCTTGGTTATTCAAGTTGGTTTTCTTCTATTTGGATTCTCAGCTGTCTTGATCTAAACCTATAGAAGATGACTTACAAGTGTCACACACTCCAGATAATGTTTGGTAATGAGAAAAGTCTAGCCTATCTTGGGCCTTGCACATATGTACCCAGACACTTCATATATTACAGTTCACAAGATAACGGGAAAACCTGAATGAGAACAATGTAGTCAGCTGCCGAAGGAGTGTGTGATAAACTCTCAGCTAAGATCTCGGTAAGGCAATCAAGGTCACTTCCTACAAGAATAAACAAAGAAATAAAGCGAGGGCACTAGGCCTCTTCCATGTACTTTTTGGGGCTGAAGCTCACATTCATCAGTGGTTCAAAACCTCTTCTCTGCCTTCGGTGCTGGAAAAGTACAAGCAGCAGAACGAGCATGGCCAGGGCTATAAGTGCTCCTCCAATTGTGGATCCAACCACGACAGCCCACGCTTGGGTTTCTTCAAGTGAATCTGGAAATATGAAACGTCTGAAGTGAGGACAGCCCATAATTTCATTTCTCAAATCACAGGGAAGAAAGAAAATAGCCCACAGCCTGCTATTTATGATTACTTGTGTGGCTTAGAGACGCGCTGGCCACAGGGGAAGCTGGTAATGCACCGTGTAAGCAACAGACATACCAGAGCCAGAGATGTTTCCTGCCAGAGAAGTCTACAGCTGAATTTAATCGTCAACCTTTCATACAAATTAAAGTGTTGAGAACGGGAAAGGTCAACAGTGACAAGACAAAAAGATCATTCTCTTATCTAATTTGGACAAAATTATGAATTATTTAAACAATTCTTTCTATAATGACATTTCAGCATAGCTGTTTCCAAGCTATTTTTGTCAACACAAAACCCTCAGATTTTCCTATAGACCACAAAGCAGCCTATTGTCAAACTTTTAACTGAAAACACTACTTAGTGTGGTTCTGCCAACCAGCTCCAGATAACATCCTCTGATTTTGAACCACTTCTGGGGAAGCACTTGTGTCTTCTAAGATAACGTTGCCCATTCTTATAATAACCCCGCTCCACTTGGCTGAATAACTTTATTTTGTGTTTTCATTTATGCTTTCAGAAGCAAAAATTGCCTGCTGGTCTGTTCTGAAAAATGCTACATATACTGAGACGGCAATAACTACATTTGCCTAAATATTCAGTAAAAACTCTCAAAAGGGCTTAAGATATTTAGAAGGAACTTAGACTTATAGGCTTAAATACAGATGGCTCAAGGCGATGTCACACTGACTATAAAAGTGACTAAAAGTTGTGTGCCCCAATCTGCAGTCTCTGTCAACAAAACAGTTGAGGGCAATCATGTCCAAGTTCAGTAAGGTCCCAAAATGAATTGTTTACCACTTTACCATCTCTCAAGTAAGAGCCAGCAATGTGTTACATGTTGATTTCTAATGTGGTTACATGAAGGAGAATTAGCAAGCTACATATTTAGAAGAAGACAAGGGTTTGGATGTAAAACCTTTATTGTCTGAACACTGACCATGCAGACAGGGATAGAAACGCTGCTTCACAGTGAGCTAACAATTTATTTAGGTGGGAGTTGAGAAGCAGCAGAATCACAAGCTGCTTTTTTTCCTCTCTGGGTACCTCATGCCCAAGGGGCAGCAGCATTTCCAAAGCAGGAGGGAGTACAGTGGTCCAGAGGGAGGAAAACTTAAACTCCATAAAAGGAGAAGTTTAAATTTTCAGGGGAAATTAAGGGGTCACCCCTGAGAAAAGCACTGCAGAAGCAGCTAGCATGCCTCCAGAATTCAGGGCTCCCCTGTATGAATGCAGCCTGAGGACAAGGGTTTCAATCTTTTGCAGTCTAGAGACCTTTGAACAGTATCCACAGATTAAAACCACAGATATGTGGTAAGCATTTAGAAAAAATTTCTGGCCGCACAGGTTAGATAAGCACCTAGTGCCTCTCAAAGGAATTCCGAGGTGGAGAAAGAAACTGTGCAGATTTAATCTTTGGTAAAGCATCTGAAGCATGGTTTTCATGCATTTCTTACTCTTGCGCCTTTTACAAATATTTGTAACTCCTGTTGCAAATTCTGGATTTTGTGCATAAATACTTTGCTTTCTTGTTTTTTGCCCTTATCTGATTTGTGTCAAAGGTAATTTCAAACGAATAGACAAACCCTAAGGCACATCACACCCATCGACATGGAAAATCTTTAAAATTGGGGTTTTACAACACAAAACACCCAAGTACATCTCTCCAGGGTATCCAAAGACTAATGGAGTTCATCTCTAATGAGATTAATGGCGCAGGATTATTCAGGGCTCTGTGCAAAACAAGTATTTTCTACTGACCGGCGTTAGCCAGACGAGCTCCCTGGCAGAGTGCCTGACCTCTGGCAGATTAAAGGATCCTGTAACAGGCATAAACAGTGCTGGGAGCAGGAGCCAAAATCAAAGATTCCTCAACGCCAAAGGAGCACCGTCGTCAATGCCGGAGCAGTTCAAGCTGATCCATTTTGCAGCAGAGCAAACTAGGTATGTGCACACTTGTAGTTACCACGGCTTACCTGGTGAGTTGTAACTACCTGTGCTACAATATGTGATTGCTAGTGAGCAGGTGAATAGACCCAAGTGTTTTGTGAAAGTGCCTTATTTTCCAAATGCCTGTGCCGTTGAAAACATGAACTGTCTCATCTCTTGGCCTGGAACAGCCTCCACACCTCTGAGACGTACCTGGCAGGTCAATGGCGTAGGTGTAGCCGAGCTGCTCCGCAGTTTGGAAGAGCTCGTCGTTGGTCACAGGAGGGAAAAAAGGCACCATGTTATACAGTCTGTTGTGACCGATGGGGGCCAGCTCCTCAGGCCAGGCATTGTCAGGGGGGCTAAACCGCTTCATCCACTCATCAAAGATGGCATCAGTAAAGGAGTGAAGAACCTGCAAATCCAGGCGCATATATAGGTATATATATGGTATATATAGCTAGGTATATAGGTATATATACGGGTATATAAAGCACTAATACAGGAAAGTTGTTTCCAAGTTAAGTTCAAACAACTATTACAAAGGTCTGGGGCAGTTCAAATTAATTTCTGATGTACTCATGTTTTTTAATTATCACCCTGGAAAAAAATTTAGAAAATATCTTACAGAAAATAATCTTGCATATAGAATTACAGCATAATGAAATGAAGATTCCGTTGTGTAAGAAAGGAATTAATGTAGGAATTCAAGAATTATTAAGGAAATAAGCTGGAGAACCACTACATAAATATTTGGGCTGATTTCTCCAACAAAAGATTGCAATCTTAAAATAAACGTAAGAAAGAAATTAATTGTATTAGAATTTCTCTATATAATCCCTGTGGATTAATCTAAAAAAGAGGAAAAGAAATTGGCATAAATTTATTAGGAGAGAAAGATGTGTAAGCAAAGTCAACTGTTTCATTTGCACATTGCTGTTTGTGCTGCTCACTGCAGTGCAGCACTGTACCAACACACCAGGGAAATCATATTATTTCTATTCCCCAAGAGATCCTAAAATTAAATGTGATTCCTTTTAGCCTGTGAAGTTTTAAACAAAGAAAGAAACTACTCAGTCTACTGCTCTAAAGTAACTAACCCTACTTTCAGTTTTTCTCATTGCTGTAAAAGTGTCTGATATAAGCCATTAAATTTAGATACCATCTAATCAGAGGATTCAGGGCAACATGACTTGGAATAGCAGGTCTTCTCCCTAAAAACTTATTTTATATTTCACAAATCACCCTGAGATTTCTTCCCTCTTTATTTGACCATTATGCAGGCGTGGCAGCGTTCAAGAAAAGAGAAAAGATTTCTCCTTTTCTATTTAAAGGGAGTTCACTTTACTTCTGTTCTGCAAACTTCTGGTGAGACAGCAGCCTTTGAGCCACAGACACTGCCACTCAGGCTGGGGGAAAAAGACATACCACAAAGATGGGATCGTTGGCGGCTGCGTGAGGG